TACACATACACACACATACACATACACACACACGATAAGTGTTCATCCATTCGAAAGATAAGCAACTAACACAATTGCGAAACTCGTCCAGCTAGTTCAGAAACACCGTTCGTTCTCAACATTCGTACACTTACATTTTCGTAGCGAGTACAAGTGTAAATGAGTTTGCGAGAGAAACTACGGTTTCCTCGCTACCTTCCAACGGTTTCGTCGTTCCATAAATGCGTTCGCAAGTTCTGTGCTCGATAGCTAACGATAAGATTAACCAAACTAGTGCGACACCGTTACGATACCGATTAATGTACCATAGGGACGCGCTGCTTACCCGAGCAGAAGTGAAGTTTCGACGTGGAACGTGTTTCGAACAAATCATCTGAAGGATGATTGACACACTGGTGGACGATGCATATGTTGTCGGCTCTCGTCGTTGATTATTTTCGACGAGTAAAAATTTCGAATGAACATCAGAGTTGCCAATTTGTCAATTATACGGCAAAATTTGCAGAGTGCTACGAATTTTCCATGTGGAAATTATTAACGGAAACTTGAGATGTATCGATCAAGCTTTACGTGTGAAAGTGTAAATTTTCAGAGGCATTGATTGTATAGAATTTTCGTTATAAGGAACGATGTATTATTGTTACAAATGGTTAAACTCTTTCTGAAACATTCAATCAATTTTATTTTTATTTATATTAGTACATTTTCTCGTATCATCGGAACGTACTTTGATTTACGTGCACCAGCAATATTTTCAATTTCAATGATACCATAATTAAAGAAATTATAGTCCAAACTATAAATGTGGCAGCTCTGATTGTTAGAACATTTCTATGCAAACCCATGCTTTCGAAAATAACTAAAGAATATAGAGACATATCTTTTGACATTTTAACATCTGTTAACTATATCATGAAAAAATTTGCAGAATACACAAAACACGAAAAAAATGTATCAAATGTTCCACATCTGATTGCAATATTTAACAAGCGAAACGAATTTGCATGTGCATAATCTTGAACTTGAAAATATTTTGCAAGACTTTCACTGCCTCTTTGACGAATTAATTTTCGCCTGAGCTGTGCGAAGCTTGACTTTTGCTCGTTACGAAGCAAAGCGTCACACATCGACGATCATCGGGTAATATTTTAACGTACCCCGACCAGCGAATAGCCATCGTGGATTCCTTCCATTCCTCGAGTCGACGTACGAACAACGTGTAGGTCAGTACAAGTAGAGCCCATAACCGAGCCCGTAATCCGCCTGCGCACATATTCTTGCGTTGCTTGTTGAACGTGATCATCTTTCGGCCTTAAGAACGAAAAAGAGAGCGAGAAAGGATCGGCGAGAATTGAAAGGTGAAGCTTCGGGGGAGGAAAAGAAACTCTTTCGTGGAAGAAGAAACGACGATTCGCATGATTCTATTTTCTTTGGTCCAGCATCCAACGAAAGAGTTCTCGTTCGTGTGTAATATAATAAGAACGTGGTGGTGAACTGTACGCGATATGGATCGTTGCTTTCGACGCATACACATAGGTATATACATGATATATTGTAAAATAATAGCGTGTGTACGATAACGTGTAGACTAAGCCTCAGGGACATGTAAATACGTTAAGCTGTAAGACGATTTGTCGTGTTAGTTTTTGCATTTGTGATTACACTGCCACTTTCTCCTCCTCCTCCTCCTCCTCTTCCTCCCCCCTTCCCCTCTATCCCTTCGTCCAGTGTAAATAAAATGTACTCTATCATGTACTTGGGCAATAAATGTTAGACAATCGTAGTGTCGATGTCTTTAAAAACCACGTTTCACGATTTCAGTTTTTTTTCAGTTTTCTCGTACTACAGATAAAGATGAAGAATCTATCTTTTGAAGTTGAATTTTACAATCTTTCGAAAAAAACACGTAAATGGCGCGTAAAGATTTTGAATTCTGAGGAATCCTTCTCAAGTAGTAACGATGTGAGGAAGTTTAGTGCTTTATCTAGTATATTATTTTTGATTTAATGCGTTATCAAAGGTTTTCAATAAATACGAAGGTTAGAGAATTTTCTCAGAATTGTCGCAATATGTCAAAAGTAAATAATATTATTCTGTTGTGTATTTAATAATTTATGTCATGTGATTAACAAAATTATTACTGGACGGTTTATAAATTAATTTCATCTTAGTATGTATTTCGGTCTGTTATTGTCGCAATAAGAAATAATATTTACTACATAATAATTGTATCGATATCTGATCAACAAAATTTTACGCTATTGATATCATGCCATGTTAAATTACCATCACTACTATCGTTATCATAGATTCGATAAAGAATACGTCACAAAAGTTCTGAAATATCGACTATAACAAATATAGGAATTATATTTAGAATTACTCACGATGTCATATAGTAGCAACTTCAATTTTATTTATCTCAACTAAAATATCAGTCATATGACATTTCCAATTTTTCAATTTATACAGTACACAATTTTCAGTAGACTTTCTGAATGATTCGATAAAGAATACGTCACAGCAGTTCTGAAATATCGACTATAACAAATATAGGAATTATACTCAGAATTAGCAACTTCAATTTTTATTTATCTCACTAACTAAAATATCAGTCATTAAACATTAAAATTTTCATTTTTTCAATTTATACCGTACACAATTTTCAGTAGACTTTCTGAATGATTCGATAAAGAATACGTCACAGCAGTTCTGAAATATCGACTATAACAAATATAGGAATTATACTCAGAATTACTCACGATGTCATATAGTAGCAACTTCATTTTTATTTATCTCAACTAAAATAGTCATATGACATTTCCAATTTTTCAATTTATACCGTACACAATTTTCAGTAGACTTTCTGAATGATTTGATAAAGAATACGTCACAGCAGTTCTGAAATATCGACTATAACAAATATAGGAATTATACTCAGAATTAGCAACTTCAATTTTTATTTATCTCACTAACTAAAATATCAGTAATTAAACATTAGAATTTCCATTTTTTCAATTTATACCGTATACAATTTTCAGTAGACTTTCTGAATGATGAAAATATGTAATGATATATATCTGTACCCACCGCAATGGGATTTCTCGTACGAGAATTATTTAATTTCACCGAAAAAATTTAGCAGGATTTTTAAGTTTATATGAAAAATTCTGAACAATTTACAAGGAAAGATACCACCAGATGGTATCGGTAAAAACTCAACGATTCGAGAGATTTTGTCGGTAAAACTGGAATCAGTAGATTCAGACAACGGCTGGCAGAGGTCAGACACGGGCAGGCGAAACTCGTGCGACGATTGATCGCGAGCGAACGTTCAGCACTTTCCGCCAGGCCCATACATAAATTAAACAGCGAAACTTTTCAGCTGTATTCATTTAACTTGCCGGTAATTTAAAATTGTTTTAGAACCGCCATTATTAGTCTTGACTTTGAATTTCAGAATTTCAATGTAAATTAATTCCGTTTCTGTTTTCGATGATCGATGCTTGGACTTACCATGGAAATCGAGTACTCCACGTACTCCGCGGGCTAGAAATTCGTCAGTTTTTCTCTGCCTTTTTAAAAATTTTACAAACAAACTTCGCCGAGTCACCCGTTCGCTGCAACTTCGGATACTGAATTTTTCATGATCGCAACTACTTTGCTGAAATCGTTCCTGCCACGTAACTGGTAATTAAGTGTTTTATCAATCGGACTTTTCACCAGGGGAATATTTCATTTTCCTTTCTTTTGACCGACTTGAGATGAAATTGAAAAATAAATTGCAAGAAAATACAGGAGAAATAATTG